CTGATCACTGAGGACAGGCCCTTCCTTGGGCTGGTGTTCTGATGCGGAGCCAGGGGTACAGTGTGGGGCCAGCCCTGCTGGCTAAATCTAGGCTTGCGTCCCAGCTCTGCCACTTCAGGGCCTTCACCTGGGACAGGTGCCTCGTCCTGCCCAGTGGGGCCACTTGAGTGCTCAAGTGCTATAGAGAGCTGCTATGGAGGTTGCAATAAGAGGTAAGAGCCTGCAGGGCTCTTGGTGACCAACAGGTCAGCAGGTCAGCCCCTGTGCAGGTCCGGGTGTCCAGATAAGCTATGCTGGGCGCCGGCTCTGAGCCAGCACCTCCATATTTTTTATAACTGTGTGCTCACCAGCAGTGAGCAACGTGCCTGTGCCTTCACGCCCTCAGCCACACTTGCTGTTCCGTCAAGCCACCAACAAAGAGTTAGGGACATCCTGCCATCTTGGGGCCCCACATCTGGTTCTAGTGGCAGTGATTGGCTAGAGAGAATAGAAGTCCCTGTAGGTGGGTGCTTCCTTTCGTCCACTTGTTGAACCTTGAAAGTGTGCAGCCTATAACCTTGGCTCTACTTGGACATGCATCTCTAGCCACTGTCTGCTGGGCCCTTGCTTTGTGCGAGGCTCGGATGGCCACTCACACCTGAGGACAGCTGTGGAAATGCAGGTGCTCCCTCCGGGCCTGTTCTTGAGGGGTCTGTGGACATGTCCTGTGTGCTCACCACCCTCCGCCCCCAGGAGCTGGCCCTTGGCACCCTCATGAAGTTTGTGCAGCTGGAAGGTTCCCACCCCCTGGAGAAACCCAAGTGGGAGGGCCACTACCTCTTTCCACGGGAACTCTTCAAGGTGAGGGGCTTGGAGGAAGGGAAGGGGCTGCCCACGCGGGCCCCTGTGGGGTGTCACTCATCCGTCCCTCGGCCCCAGCTCGTGGTGGAAGGCTTGCTGTCTCTGGAGGAGGACCGGGCACTGCTCCTCTCCCAGCTGCAGAGCTCCCTGGAGTACGATGACCTCCGCTACCACGCCATGCAGGCAGCCACAGGGGCCCTGGCCAGGGTGACCGACGGGGGAGCAGAGGTGAGTTCGTGGGCACCTTGGGGGGGCGGGGGCAGTGCCAGGTGCTCAGCTAAGGCTCCTGCAGGTGCCCCTCCCCTTCTGGAACAACACCTTCACCCTGCTCTCGGCCATCAGCTTGCCTCGCCAGGAGGGCCGCACTCCCAGCTTTTACGTGAGGCACAAGGGTGAGCATCCAGGGAACAGGGTAGGGGTACCACACAGGGTGACCCCAGGGCCACGCCCCTCAACTGACTCCCTTTGTGCAGAGCCATCAGACAAATGGAAGGTGGCGCACCTGAAGGTGAGCAGCTCCGCCCCTCGCAGCGGCAGGGCCTGCTGAGGGGACAGCCAGCACCCTGGGACATCAGGGTCCAGGGGGCCTCTGACCAGGCAGGGCCTCCCACCAGTCTCCCTGAGGCCCTCACTGGTAGGGAGGGGTCCTTGTGCTGTGGCCAGGAGGGCGGGCTCCCGAGTTGACATCGGGGTATCCGGCGAGCTCTGTCTGCTAAGG